ATGGTGATTCCAGTCTTCAGGCAGCAGCAGAAACTGCTGCCTCCCAGACCTCTGCATCCGCTGCTGCTGCTGCTGCTGCTGCTGCTGCTGCAGTCGTTGCTGTTGCTGCTGCTGCTGCTCGATAAGCGCAGGGGCAGCTTCAGCTAGATCATCTGAATCTGCTGCTGTGGAAGAATGTGCTGCTGCTGCTGCTTCTGCTTCTGCTTCTGCTGCTGCTGCTGCTGCTGCTGCTGCTGGCTCGTTTGCTTCCTCAGCAGCCCCTCCATAGGACGGCGGCATATCTGCTGCTGCTGTTATCTTTGTGGATGCACTTTGCTCTGTTGCTGCAGCATCAAGAGTAGCAGCAGCAGGAGCAGCAGCAGGAGCAGCAGCAGCAGCAGCAGCAGTGGTGGTTGAAGGGGAGTCAGCTGCTGCAGGAAACGGGTATGGAGAGGGATCCAGCGTTTGCTGCTGCTGCTGTTGCTGCTGCTGCTGCTGCGGTTGCTTTTGCTGCTGCGTTCCTCCCAGCATCCCTTTCATCTCTTCCTGCTGCTCATGCTGTTGCTGCTCAATCACCATCTGCTGCTGCTGCTGCTGCTGCTGCTGCTGCTGCTGGTGTGTTTCTGTTTTGTGGTTTGCTGTTGCTGTTGGTAGGGCTNCTGCTGCTGCTGCTGCTGCTGCTGCTGGTGTGTTTCTGTTTTGTGGTTTGCTGTTGCTGTTGGTAGGGCTGCAACGAGGAGCTTAACAAAGGAGAAAGCAGCAGCAGCAGCAGCAAGCGCATGCAGCAGCAGCGGCCTATCGAATCTATGGTGGAGTTTAAATTTATATAAAGAAGGAGAGATGCTGCGGTGCTGCAGCAGAGATAGATAACCAGAAGAAACAGAAAAAAGAGAAAAAAGAAAAAGACAAACACAAATACAAAACAAAGGCTCCATCCATAAATTATGATGCAGAGATAGCTCGAATCCGCCTCCTGTTGCTGCTGCTGCTGCTGCTGCTGTTGCTGCTGCTGCTGCTGCTGCTGTTGATGGGGGGCCGCTTGTAGTGCTGCTGTCGGGAGCAGCAGCAGCAGCAGCAGCAGCAGCAGCAGGAGACAGATAACGAAAGCAACCAAGAAACCCTAGTGTAAGCTGCAAGCTTGTAAGCAGCAGCAGCAAAGGATATACCAGCAGCAGCAGCAACTCTGTTTCTTTTCTATACGAGTTGTTTAGCAGCAGCACAGAACAAACTGCAGCACTATCCTCTCCCCCCCACATCATCAACTCCTCCTCCTCT